ATATCAGTCTCGATCTCTTGGACTACAGGGGTCCAAGAGATTTGTGGTCACTTACCGTTGGATGTAAATTCAACGGTTCACTCACTCTTGCACTCCTTTTAAGAAATGTTTTTGAACCATTGGATTAATATCAAACGGTGCATGACCACAATTTCTTGGACTCCTGTGGTCCAAGAGATCAGGACTGCAAATAATATATATGAAAAAAAATTAAATATATTACATTAAAATATTAGGGTTATTCACGCAGCAATGGTCCCTCAACTATACCACAAGTTACACTTTGGTCACTGAACTCAAATATTAGTTGCAGAGGTCACTCAATTAAGTGTTTTGTTGCACCGTTAGTCCTACCGTCAAGTCTGTTACTTTTTCTGTTTAAAATGATGACGTGGCAAGCATCTCTTAAATTATTGATGGGCAAATGTGACTTTTCAGTTAAGATTATTTGTAGCAATGATCCCTCAACTATACTCGGAGTTACATTTTGGTCACTCAATTAGGTGTTGTGTTGCACCATTAGTCCCTACCGTTAGAGAGACTTGACGGTAGGACTAATGGTGCAACAAAACACCTAATTGAGTGACCTCTGCAACTAATATTTGAGTTCAGTGACCAAAGTGTAACTTGTGGTATAGTTGAGGGACCATTGCTGCGAATAATCCAAAATATTATATAGTAACCGAACTTTTAAGTTGTAATTTGCCAAATAAAACACATACGTATTTTATTTCTTATAGCCGCACAGCTATACCAAATTAATATCTATAAAGTATAAACTAATGCAACTAGGAGGGTCTTATTTCTCAATTTTGCTCTATTAAATAGTATCGCCGCACGGCTGTACGCGCTTTTTTATTTTTTTTATTTTAAGAAATAGCGGCTATACTCGATTTTTCTATTTTTTTATACAAGAAATAGTATAGCCGGCTATACTCTTTTTTTTTTCCTTACTTCTTTAAAAGAAATAGTATAGCCGGCCGGCTATACTCGGTTTTCCAAAATTGTTTTAAAATAAATAGTATAGCCGACCGGCTATACTCGGTTTTCCAAAATTGTTTTAAAATAAATAGTATAGCCGCCCGGCTATACTCGGGTTTTCAAAATTGGTTTAAAAGAAATATACTTTACCCTTATTTAACATGTACATACAATTTTTTTTTATGTTTAATACAAGTTTTTTTATTTATAAAATTTTCAATAATACACAAAAACTTAACGAATTGTACACAAAATTTTCACATATTATTCAATACAAATAATATATACGAAAAGTTTTTAGTATATTATATTAAAATATTATATAGTAGCCGAATTTTAAAGTTGTAATTTTCCAAGTAAAACACGTACGTATTTATTCTTATAGCCGGGCGGCTATACCAAAATAATATTTATGAAGTATAAACTAATGCAACTAGGAGGGTCTTGTTTCTTAATTTTGTTTTAATAAATAGTATAGCCGACCGGCTATACTCATGTTTTCTAATTGTTTTTTAAAGAAATAGTACAGCCGCACTTGGTTTTTATTATTTCTTTAAAAGAAATAGTATAGCGATGCTGTTGTCCACATAATTCAATCTAATGCAATCCTATTAAAATATGATATTGTAGCTGAACTTTTAAGTTGTAATTTGCCAAATAAAACACTTATAGCTGCGTGGCTATACCAAATTAATATCTTTAAAGTATAAACTAATGCAACTAGGAGGTCTTATTTCTTAATTTTGCTTTATTGAATCGTATAGCCGCTCGGCTATACTCGTTTTTTTTTTTAATAAATAAAAGGAATAGTATAGTCGCACGGCTGAGTTCTTTATTAAAAAATGGTATAGCTGCTTTGCCTTATTTCTTTATTAAAAACTCGGTTTTTAAATTGTTTTAAAAAGAAATGGTATAGCCGTGCGGCTACACTCGTATTGAACATGTACATATTTTTTTATGTTTAATACAAGTATTTTTTTTAAAAATTCAATAATACACAAAAACTTCATGAATTATACACAAAATTCTCAAATATTATTGAATACAAATAATATATATGAAAAAATTTAAATGTATTATATTAAAATAGGTACGTATTTTATTCTTATAGTCGCGTGGCTATACCAAATTAATATCTATAAAGTATAAACTAATGCAACTAGGAGGGTCTTATTTCTTAATTTTGTTTTATTAAATAGTATAGCCGCCCGGCTATACGCATTTTTCTATTTTTTAAGAAATAGTATAGCCGGCTGTATCTGGTTTTTTCAATTTTTTTTAGCCACCGGTAATACAAATCCTATTCTCACGTCACATTATTCATTATGAATGAATGCGTCTTTCTTCGTAACATTGTTTTCAAATTTTAGTTTGGCCCTAAGCAGTACTGTACAAGAACCGTTTTCGAAAATGTATCACCTTAGCTACTGAGAGATTTCTTCTGGGATGATGAATTTAGACCCCAGTGGGATAACATGCTCATTCACTTCAAACTCCCAGAGCTTGCCCCCAAACTGGTTCCATGACTGTCCACCGGATTAGAAAGGTACCACATCAGATTTTACATAGATTTTGCTAGAACTGTTGTGTTTTTCTCCCAACCCAGTTTTTTAATTGCGATTGGGGTTTTTCTCCCGAAATGCCACAGTTGCCGTTGTTCTACAGTGATCGAGAACATGTCATAACCCGGCGTATTTGGGAATCTGCTTCTGGATATTACTGCCTAACAATTTAACAAAGGTTTGATTTTGTCTCAAATATTTCAAGCTTTCTATAGGTCCTGTCCTGCGACAAAATGCCATCTTCTGATTATATGTTTTCATATATATAAGGGGAAACACCATATCCACCCCTACCAAGGTCTAAAAGACCTTATAAAATGAGGTACGTATTTTAATTTTTTGGTACGTTTCTGTTTACTAATAGAACATATATCAAAACAACTATTTCAGTGAAACCTAGGAATGGCGAGCAGCAGAAAATGGCATCAGAAGTGCTTCTGTTTCATAGGCGTGCAGATTTACCAAATGGCAAAGGAAAATGGTGGGTATTCTTCCAATTATGCACTTATGGCAAACATAACATAACCACAGAGATTAAAACTAAGATGTTCAACAACACCATTGTTTGAAATTGAGTGGCAAAAGATCATGAACTTGTAAAATCTTCAACATGACATTGATTTAGACAAGGCTGAAACTTTTATATATATATATATATATATATATATATTTCGCGTTCGATCATTGGGAGCTGCATCAAATCAAAGCCATTCTTTTTCAAATGTCCAGTAAAACATTTTCTTTGCTGAATCAACTTTTTCAACTTAAAAATGAAAGAAAGGGAACAACAACAAAAGTTAGAACACATCGAATAAAAGTTATATGTGCTCATGTGAATAACAAAGCAACCAAACCACACAAATGCGAGTGGGCATCAGAATTTGTTCGCACAGAGGAAAAGGAAACGAAAGAATGGCTGAAAAGCCAGGCAGAATTTCAACGAACAAAGAAATCAAGCAAACAGAGGGGTTTTGGAGGAATCGTCACCTTCAGTTTCAGCCATTAGACGGCGGCTGCGGGATTGCTTGTTCTCGAATGAATTTCAAGGCCCTTTTTCATAGCCTAAACCTCTGTGGGTTTGTGGTTTTGGGTCTATTTTCTTGTTGGCCCCTTGGTGAGCTTGTTCTTTCGTTCTTCTTTAGTGAATTTGAATTTCTTAAAAAATGAAATGAAAGTATTATCATGTGATGGCCTGTTTGGCGGGTAAATTGATTTTATGGTGTGTTTACTAATCAGGAATTAGAATTCTCATTGGGAATTAAATTCCACTTTTGCAGGATTCTTGCTTTTATTTCACATCAAAGAATTGAAAAGTAAGTGGGGCCCACACAAAATTAGGAATTGAATTCCTGATTTTGGAGGAATTTAATTCTTAGGTGAGAGGAGGTGGTATTCTAATTCCTGGAGAACTAACTCATTATGAATTCATCTTTTTACCCATTATATCCTCACACAATTTTCAAAATTCCAAATTTGCCATCTACTTTAACCCAACAACGAGGACATTTTAGTAATTAGTACCACTCATACCCCAATTTCATATGGTTTAGTAAACGACTTCAATAAGAATCCAGAATCTAACTCCCCTCAATTCATATGGTTTAGTAATAACAACTCCAATCAGAATTCGGAATCGAATTCTCCTCAATCCAATTCCTCCTCAATTCAATTCCTCCTAATCCAAATACGGATTAGTAAACATGAGTGAAAATTCACACTAAATGCCAATACAGTTGAATGAATTGTGATTAATTTATAACCTAATAGAGAATGGTGAATATGTCAATCTATCATTCACAACGGTTTTTGCATAGAATACAAGTTCGAATTGTAGAATAATAATTTATTTGATTCTTTTCTTCAATGCTTTTTAATATTTTTTAAGGAAGATGAAAGGTGAAAATGCAATATAAAGGGAAGATAACCAAGAGATATTATTCTTTAAAGTAGGAAAAGATAGGGAACTTAGAAAACAAAAGGCATATATCAACTTAAAAGATATATTAATTAATCAGATTATCATCACCTATACATCTACCATATACCCATAATGAAAATTGACAGATTCCTCCATCAAGCCCTCTTGGCAATTTTCCATGTGATATGTGTTTAAGAATATTGAAGTCTCACATAACTAAATAAAATATAACATGATGAATGATTCTACTATTAATCACATCAAGACCTTTTGTATAAAACTCCACACCTGCTCAACATGTGGTTATGTTTGGGATAATATCGATGTCACTAGTAGTTGGCCACAAGTTCATTCCTCTAAAATTTAAGCGGACTGGTTGATTGAGCCTTATTAAACCCAAATCAAACAAAACCCCACATTGAACCAAAATCAAATAAACCCCCAATTTTTATTTTTATTTTTTAAAAAAGGTGACCAATGTGGAATTTTTTTCATGTGTGGCCTATTAAAGAGTCGTCCCACATGAGGGAGAGTGTTGAAGAATATTGAAATCAACGTAACTTCAAAATGGAGGAAGCTAACAGTAAGTTGCCCCTGCTCATCTTCTCTCTTTCTTACAGACACTGTTAAATAAATTTTTTCATGATTTCCCATGACTCAAGTTCTGTTGTATTTTTATTCTGCATCTTGATTTGTGGTTTTTCCAGGTGTACAAGATAGAGAAAACAAGTTCTTAAGGAAGGTGGTTGACGAAGCATATAAAGGTGTTGAATGTGGAGAAGGGGAAGATAGAGACAAGTTCTTAAGGAAGGCGGTTGAAGATGCATACAAAGGTGTTGAATGTGGAGACGGGGAAGATAGAGACAACAAGTTCTTAAGGAAGGCGGTTGAAGAAGCATATAAAGGTGTTGAATGTGGAGATGGAGGCCCCTTTGGTGCTGTTGTTGTACATAATGATGAGGTACTTGTGAGTTGTCACAACATGGTCCTGAGGAACACAGACCCAACTGCCCATGCTGAGGTGACTGCAATAAGAGAGGTAATTGGAATGGAAATGATGACTTACCTCACATGAATTCTTCTCTTCTCATAGTGTTCTAGAAAGAAGCATAATCCTTACTAATGTTTTTGCTTTACCAGGCATGTAAGCAGCTGAAGCAGATTGAACTTGCAGACTGTGAAATATATGCATCTTGTGAGCCTTGCCCCATGTGCTTTGGTGCCATCCATCTTTCAAGGATCAAGGTTGAACAAGCCTATATTTTGCATATTTCTGCCCTGCAGTCATTTGTGGTTTAAGCGATAACGTGTATCGGTACTTTTATGTCTACCAGAGGCTGGTGTATGGAGCCAAGGCTGAAGCAGCCATTGCTATTGGTTTTGATGATTTTATTTCGGATGCATTAAGGGGTACTGGTTTCTACCAAAAGGCTCACTTGGAGATCAAAAGAGCAGATGGCAATGAGGCCGTCATTGCAGAACAGGTCTTTGAGGAAACAAAGGCAAAGTTCCAAATGTACCGAACTTAGTGGCTTGCTGCTATCATTATTATATTTCAGTTTGCTTAGTAATGGCATCTATCCATCAAGCTTGACATGTATTATGATAATAACCATGCTTGTATGTTTGAGCCACTACTATCTGTAAAATGAAGCCTTATGTTTGCTCCTATGAAGTGTTTCGTTACCACCGTAAGATCTAATGCTAAATCTGGTCAAGCAAAATACTTTTTATCCTTAGATGGCAGCACAAACACTACTACAAAATAGTTAAACAACGACACAAAGTAGACGACGGTGCATCTTAAAACCGTCGTTATGTTTTAAAAGACGACGGTGTTTTTAAAATCGTCATGATATATCATCTTATACACTACTAGCGTTAGATTGATTTTTAAAAGACGACGCTTGTCACTAACAAGCGTCGTCTTTTAAAACACACTGAACAAAAAAAAGGCCACTTGATTTTTAAAAGACGACACTTGTTAGTGACAAGTGTTGTCTTTTAAAAATCAAGTGGCCTTTTTTTTTGTAAAGACGACAGTTTTTTTGAAAGAACTGTCGTCTATTATATGTAAAGATGACCGTTTTTTTTAAAGAACTATCGTCTATTATATGTAAAGATGACAATTTTTTGAAAGAACTGTCGTCTATTATAACACGTCCTGCAAGTTTGGTTTCGATCGAGCAGTCGGATCGCTCTCGATCGCACGATCAGACGGTCACCATTTTACGTAACCATAGAAGCATTAATTCAGAGTATCCGAGACTCTGATTCTCGATCCGTGAGTTCCTACACGATTCTAAAGGTACAAAGAACAATGTACTTGGAAAAAGGGTCGATCCAAAGGTCTGAACATATCGAACCAGGATATCGCCTAATATACGTAAATTCGTTCGACTGCCAAATGATAACCAAATTAAAATCCGAGCATACCGTCATGCTCGGGACGACACGGGAAACATTTTAGAACACAATGGGTCCCCCACACCAAGGCCACGCGCCACCACGCGCCGGCAGTGCGTGGGTGGCTTGAGAAAGAACTGTCGTTGATTATATGTAAAGACGACAGTTTTTTTCAAAGAACTTTCGTTGTTTTGTTATATAGATGACGGTTTGTGACAAAAAATCGTCGTTGTTTATAGGTAAGGACGACGTTTTTGTTAAAACCGTCGTTAATTGTAGGCAAAATACGATGGTTTTTATTTACAAAAAAAGGCCACTTGATTTTTAAAAGACGATGCTTGTCACTAACAAGCGTCGTCTTTTAAAACACGCTAAAAAAAGGCCACTTGAGTGAATTCACACTCGACAAATTCTCAGATTTTCCCCCGTCTATGAAAACCTTATCTCTCCCTCCTTGAAACCCTCCTGAGCTCTCTAAAACACCCTCATGAAACTCTCTACAAAATCATCAGAAAATCGATATCAATGAAGGAGTTAAGAGATTAAGGTCTTCGCAGATCCATAAGATGGAGAGGGAGGTTCTGTATTTGAGAATCAAAGCTGGTTGGATGGTGAAGATCTCGATCTCCACGCTCTTTAACGATGATCTCCATCTCAGGCGTTCAACTCTCTCATCAACCTCAACAGCTTGGTCGGTTAGCTTTCCAATTTCGTAGTCGCGATCTAGAAAGACTCGTCGAAATCTGTCGCGTAGGCCACTTCATGCCCATGGCCCTCACACTCCTCTGAAGGTCCAAGCCCTATAATTGTCCTATTCTCTTGATAATTGTGAAGATCGAAACCCTAGCCTCCTACCTTTGGAAAGGTTTGATTTGAAAGTCACCTAATCTCTCAATACCCTTCTATATCTTGCTAGTGAATTCTGGATTAGTCTATTTGCGTTTCTGGTATGTTCTTTGTCTCCCTGATTTCAGATTTTCTGTCTCTCTTGATTTGTCTGGTTTCTTTTTAGATTTTCTGATTTGGTTCTCAGGAGATGAGGAGGAAGCTTGCAGATTTATAACTTTTTCTTTTATAGGTTTTCTATGGTCTTTTCTATGTGAGTCGTATGTTTTTTTGTTGTTGAAAATTTGTTACCTTCTCTTCTCACCATCATTTTATTTATATATTTTTCCTTTTGCAGGTTCTCGATGGTCTTTTTTATGCTCATTTTACAAGTTTTCTATGGAAATATGGTCCAATGGTAAAATTTCTCTTCCACCTAATTTTATATTTTTATAATCTTAGCTTTTTTTCTCTCTCTGTCATTTTGATTTATTTACTGGAATGATGGAGGAGACTTCAGTTGTGCATCATTTGTATGTTTGGACGAGGAATGCTTGGATTATGAGTACTTAGGTCTTGTTAGGAAAAGATTGTACTACTTAATTACCTTATGTATCAATTGAATATTTATATTTAATTGGTAGGAAATATGTTTGTTGTAGAATAAAGATTGGTTAACTATGTAATAACTATTGAATCTTCAAGTTTTATGAAAGAAACTATGTTTGAGTGTATATATTCATTAATAAAGTATTATGGTTGGTTTTCTAGTTAAAATCGTTATATAGCATCATAGGAAATCAAAAAGAACTAAAATGTAGCTGTTTGGGAACTTATTAGATGACGGTTTTTATAATAAATCATGGTCTTTACAGATAATTAACGACGGTTTTTATAAACCAACCGTTGGCTTTATAGATAATTAACTACGGTTTTTATAAAACAATCGTCATCTTAACCTACAATCCACGACGGTTTTATTAAAAACCGTCGTCTTTCCTCCTATAATTAACGATCTTTACCTCTAAATAACGACGATTTTCTTTAAAAACCGTCGTCTTTACAGATAAACAACGACGGTGAAAAGCCGTCGTAGTTTGACATCCAAAAAGATGGCGGTCTATTTAACGACGGATTTCAAAGCATTATAACGACGGTGGATCCTCGTTGTCTATTTCGTTTTTTGTAGTAGTGAAAATTTATAACAGAATCAAATATTTGGCAACTCTTGCTATCTTGGCAATATTTGGTTGCAGATTTTGTTGCTATGCCACAAGAGGATCGTGCCTACAATGTCGTGGCCTAGCAAAGAAGGAAAAAAAAAAAAAAAAGAAAAAAGAAAAAAACTAAGTACTTAAGAAGTGGGAAAATGCATGTGGCAAAGGGTCGTGCAACAGTTGATTATTGATTAAGCGATAATTGGTTACTTTTATGTTGTGTTTAATAGGAAAGTGTGCTGCCAATTGGGTCATACCATAGTGGAAAAGTGTGTTTGGCCTAAGACTAGTGGTTTTAGGATCGAAACTCCTAGACACCAGTGTGTGTGAGTAAATCCCCCTCCCCTTTCCTACCTTTGAGAAAAAAGAAAAGAAAAAGGAAAGTGTGCTCGTACTTCCACAAGCATTGAACAATATTATTACATCAAGCAAGCAATTGACCTTAAGTAGTTTGTTTGATAATGATAAATTTAATGGCTAATTATAAGACACCTACAAGTTACACTACTACAAAATAGTTAAACCACGACACAAAATAGACGACGGTGCATCTTAAAACCGTTGTTATGTTTTAAAAGACGACGGTATTTTTAAAACCGTCATGATATATCATCTTATACACTTCTAGCGTTAGATTGATTTTTAAAAGACATGCTTGTCACTAACAAGCGTCGTCTTTTAAAACACGCTGAACAAAAAAAAGGCAACTTGATTTTTAAAAGATGACGCTTGGTAGTGACAAGCGTCGTCTTTTAAAAATCAAGTGGCCTTTTTTTTGGTAAAGACAAGGTTTTTTTGAAAGAACTGTCGTGTATTATATGTAAAGATGACCCTTTTTTTTAAAAGAACTATCGTCTATTATTAAGTAAAGATGACGTTTTTTTTTTTAAAAAGGGTCGTCTATTATATGTAAAGATGACGGTTTTTTTTAAAACAGGGTCGTCTATTATGAAGTAAAGATGACGGTTTTAAAAAAAAAAGGGTCGTCTATTATATGTAAAGATGACTTTTTTTTTAAAAAACAGGGTCGTCTATTATGAAGTAAAGATGACGGTTTTTTTTGGTTTAAAACAGAGTTGTCTATTATGAAGTAAAGATGACGGTTTTTTTAAAAACCGTCGTCTTTACAGATAAACAACGACGGTGAAAAGCCGTCGTAGTTTGACACCCAAAAATATGGCGGTCAATTTAATGACGATTTTCAAAGCATTACAACGACGGTGGATCCCCATCGTCCATTTCGTTTTTTGTAGTAGTGTTACCTATATACTTGAGAATATGGTATTCCATAAAATATTGCATGCGTATTATTTTGATACAAGCGATGTTGGGGAAGAGGAATCAAACACATAAATGACCATTGTTGTAATTACTAAGGCCCCGTTCGTTTACGTTTTAGAGGCCCATTTTCATTTTCAAAAGACAAAAACAAAGCAAAAACGTGTTTGGTGTGCAAAAACAGAAAACATTGAAAATGTTTTCATAAAATGAGACCAACTTCACGTTTACTTCTACAAAACAGAAAAAAGATGTTTTTGTTCTCCCAGAAAACAAACCCTCAAAACACTCTTTTGCTCAATCTTCTCTCCATATCAGACTAAAAACCAAAATTCTGCTCACCCTTCTCTTCTCTCTCCCTTTCTTGACCACTCTTCTCTCTGGCTTGGCTCACTCCTCTCTACCAACATGAACAACACCCATCTTCTCCAACCCAAAATAACACAAATCTGCAAACTAAGAAAAAAAAATACATAGGAAGAAGAAAAGAAAAGAAAACCAAAGACAGGAAGAAGAACCACCACATACCCAGCTCAACCACCATTATCACCCCAATCAAACCACCACAACCATTAATCAGTGGAACTAGAGTGAGACAGAGAGACAGAGAGACAGAGAGAGAGACAGAGACAGAGAGAGAGAGATGGGTGGGTGTATGGGATTCATGCCATGGAAGGAAGGAGGAGTGGGTGCGGCCTGGGAAGTAGAGGTGTCAAACGGGCCGTGCCTGGCCGGCACGTCCCATTTAAACTCGTGCTTTTAACATTTTCGTGCCGTGCTGGGCCGGCCCATTTAATTTATCGGGGCGTGCTGTGCTGGCCCATTTAATAAAATCATTGATCCCGCCCCAGCCCAAAGCCCATGTCCACATTGAAACGAGCCGGGCCGAGCTCGTGCTGTGCCCGTGCTCGTGTTGTGCCCGTGCTCGTGCCATACTCGGGCCCAAGAACCAACCCAT